ATATATTTTGCAATTTTATAAATATAAACGTAATAAATATAGACGTAACGTGTGCACACGTGATCAAGAAATATGGAATATATTTTGCAATTTTTCTTCGTGTCGGAAGTCTGACATTTGGCCCGGTTACACCAAATTTTGTAGGATCGTCGATGCCAAAAATTGTTGAATATTTTACACAAGACTCGGTTAACAAGAAACTCGGTGAGAATCCTCCGTTAGAAGTTGTGCACTTCGCGGGATCGTTCCCGATAGCTTACGAAAAAGAGCGAAGGCGCGCACAGCGTGCGTCACCTCCGGCATTTTGCTTTACGCTCGACAAGATTGTTCCGACAAATAGAGACCCTACAGCACAGCGCGTCTCTGAATTTTCTCGCGGAAAAACCTGCTCGATCGACCGAGAAGATGTCGGTCGGATTAATTAAATACTATGCGCAGCTTTGTCATGGAAAAAGGGACCGACGAACGAAGCAAACGAGAAGAAGAGAGTGCTCCTCCGAACTTTTCGAAGCTGCGGACAAAGAAATCGATTTGTTTCCCGGATGAAGCTCGATGATTTTCCCGCACGAACTTTGAATTTAACGTTTCGTTTCATTCGAACGTCGTCGAAACATTTTTCGCAGTCGTTCCATGCGCAATTAGCAAAATATTCTAATTGCTCCGCGAAGCGAGACCATTTTCATAATCGATGAATATTTAATTGCTGATAATAGAATAGCTGCCCGAGCGAGTTATTAATAATAATCAGGAAAATTGCAGTTTAAGTGGAACATACGACAGCGAGGCCGGAACGCGCCTCGTATAATTAAAACACTTGTAACAGCCTTACCCCGACTGAAATCTTGTTGCATTTCCGGATCCACCTTGTCGCGAATAAAGAACACTCCGGACCGACTCCCGTGATATATTGCCTGTCTTCACGGTACTCCGAACAATTACTCATGCGCCCGTAAACTGCGGTAATTCAGTTTCGCAGCAAGCAATATATTCAAAATTCATTAATTCAAATATATTTTTACGGTCTCTCGCTGTTCCGAACGGCAAGAAATCGGTGATGGAATTATAATACCAAGCGAATTATTCGCGGCAGCACGACTTAGCTTGGAAATTAAATCACGGTTTTACATTAAGTTTCGCATCGAGTGTTTGCGCTATAACGAATACGTATGTAAATATATTTTCTCAAGGTTGAATTCGCCATGTGTAATTACGGGACAAGAAAATTAGATATACAGATTGAAAATCGGGAAACAAATTGAGAAAATAACGCGAAGATCGGAGAACAATGAACAACATAAATTGCGAGTGAAATTCATCTGAAAGTCTCTTTGAAATTATTATAACAACACCGTGTAATCTGGCATGCGATTAATGATTTCTCGACAAGTTTTCTTAAATGAGTTTCAGGCTGTTCACCGTTCGAAGCTAAATATGAATTCTGCAAATAATCGGATTGCAAATTATAATCGATATTCAAAAATTATACAAATTATAATTAATATTAACCCTTAACGGTTCAATGCCGCCATACACATAAAACCGTAAAATCTGGCAGGAACCATTGGAAGAATAGGCGCGATTGTTTCGATGAAAATATATCAAGGAAGTTTTATTTAAAAAATGAATATCTCTTCTCTATATTTGACACAAAAATTTTCAGTAAAAAATTTCTCTTCGTCTGAAAAACAGTCCGGACTTGGCAGTGTGTAAACTGGAAATAAAGTTTTGGTCCTCTAAGGGTTAATATATATATATAAATAATCTTGACATAACCATGCAGGACTTTTTACGATGACATTGTCTTGCTTCCGAGGATAATTGTTACGAGAACCTTCTCAAATGAACACTTTAAACAGAATCTTCTGCACTTCTCTCGTGCACATTTTTTGTATTGAAACGACTGCATCGAATGCTCGTTTCTCCACCGAAAAGTAAATTGTTCATTATTGCTCGCGAAAACGTGATTGTCCGTCGAAAATATTTCAATCGCGCTTGCCGCGCAGAAAAGACTGTGGCACGATGAATTAATGAATATTTTCGAACTGCGCCGTCAAATTTCAAGTGTTTCGGCGGACGTTATTCAACGTTTACCGATTCGAGTGGTCGCTGATTTATGGACGGGAACGCGGCGGAGCATCGGACGAGACCGTGCAACACGCGCTATTTATGAAGAGCGGGGCAGTAATAAAACGGATCGATGCTGCAAAAAACGGGATCCGGATCTACGATCACGATCCCGGTATTCGCGTTTCTTTGAACGGGGACAGCGGCGGCAAGGAAAACGCTGACTGGTGAACGTTTTCGTTCGCGCTGCGGTTTTTCGTGGCGTACGTTCACAGAGAATAATGATTCGCGAACACGTGGCGGCGTTCGCAGGGACACAAAAAGGCAGGCAATACGAGCGCAAAGTTGCTGGAAGTCTCGCGGCTTTTATCTGTCCGGAGAGGAGCGGAGAACAACGCGAAGGTAAACCGTCGGGACGTGACGGAAAATTACTGTGATCTGGAAAGTTTAAACGCTCGCGCATCTCGTATAAAAGCCGGCTCTCTGTCCTTCTCTCCTGTCCCCTCCCCCCGCCCCCTCGGCGCGGCGCAAGTTATCGCGTGTTAAATAATGCAACGCTAGAGAACCGTTGCTGCGAGCAAATAGCAAACGGTTAATTTTAGTCCGGCGTCCGGCGCGGCGCGCCGTCGTCGTCGAAACAAAAAGGAAACCGGGAGCAGAGCCGGCGAGAGAACGGCGAAAAAAAACGCACGATATTTCCGGCGGATGTAAGCTGCTCGTGGGTGATAACGGGCCCCGCGCGAAAGTGAGAAATCGTCGAATGCGAATCAACGGAATTTGAACTTGCTGTATGTATGTATGTACAGGGTGTCCCAAAAATGTCTCGCAATCCGAAAGTGGCGGGTTCCTCGGGTCATTTGAAGCAACTTCTTCCTTTACAAAAATATTCTCCGAGGCACCGTTAACGAGTTATTAACGAAAAACAGTGACCAATGGAGAGGCGAGCTCAGCTGGCGCGAGGCAGCCGAGTCAACAGCGCCAGCGGTCGAGCGGTCGAATCCCAGCTCAGCTGGCGCGAGGCGACCGAGCCAATGAGCGGAACTGGGCTTCGCGCGCTAGTTGGCTGGGCCGCCTCGCGTCAGCCGTACTCGATTCTTATTGGTCACTGTTTTTCGTTAATAACTCGATAACGGTGCCTCGGGGAACATTTTTGTAAAGGAAGAAGTTGCTTCAAATGATCTGAGAAACCCGCCATTTCCGGATTGCGAGACATTTTTGGGACACCCTGTATATGCGATACAATTCGCTCGTGTTTAGCGTGTCGCGGACGGATTGCAACGTTACCAACGTGTCGCGTGCGACATGCGTGAAGCGAACGTTTCGCGATGCATATCAACCGTGCCCGACGGCTGTGAGAACGTTTAAAGTTTTTCCAGGAAATAAGCGCAGCAAAAAACCCGGTAATGTCTTCGCGCTAGTTTGAATAATCTCCTGGAGCTTCCACCTGGTCGCCGGGGAAACTTCTACGATGGCCGACGGAATCTACAATGAAAACTACCGGTTTCATACACATTTTCGTGCCCTTCGCGAACCGAATTTTCAAGTCGTCGCAGTGAAATTAAAAGTAATGGACCGTACCGGATGATGCGATTCTACCTTTCTTTTTTCAGTTACACGGAACGATAGACAAGATAACGAACGATAGACAAAATAATATGCAAAAGGGAGCTGGATCGATGCTTCTGACATTTTTTCAGAATACTCGGGTGGTCTGCATTGATCTTGGAAAGATTAGTACACGTGGTATGGAAACTTTTCCGACAAATGATTTAATTTGTCACGGTTATTTTTGTTGCGTGAACTTTGAAACTCTGTTAACACCGACATTATTCAATCGGTGTGTTTCTATCAGACGGTATATCATAGTACAGTACTAGAGACTCCATTATCCGAACATTTATTTTTACAATATTCTAGTCATTGTACGTGAGATTTGTGTTGACAGCGTAATTTTGTATTCGATAAATCGATATAAAATATTATTATCGACAGATCCATTGTATTTTAAATAAATATATATATTTTAAATGAATATATAAACGTATATTTTAAATAAATATACAGATGTATTTTAAATAAATATGCGGATGTACAGTAATGTCTCCCTTACTGACGCTCAAATTGTCCACTAAAATGAACAATTTGGGAAGAAGAGATACGATTATTCGAGCCTTGCGGCTCGTTGTTATAATTGTGGATAATTTACAACAATAAAAATAAACTGCGAGGCTCGAATAATCGTATCTCCTCTTCCCAAATTGTCCATTTTTGTGCGCAATTTGGGCGTCAATTAGAAAGACATTACTGTATTTTGAATACGACGCGGATCCTTAATTCGCGGTTTCCATGGTCGAAAATGGGAAATTTAAGATTCTCTGTCACCACTGTGTTTCCATATTGTGACTCGTGCTACAAGACTGTGGAAATATGGTTCCGGTAGCAGGCGGATAGCAGAGCTCGCGTGTTCGCAAGACAAAGCCGGGGCACGGATACATACTCCCGTAAAAATGTGGACGGTTTCGCGCAGTATTTCGCCGGTGTTCGTCACGTCACCCTGTCGCGAGGATCTCCGCCGCAGCCGCGGAAAAATAATTTCGGCTTGAGCAGAACATCGCGATATTCCGGCTGAGGAGTCACACAACCTTTCGCTTGGAACCGTTCCAACCGGAGTGTAACAAATTTTACGCGGGCCCTCAGAATTGGAGCGTGAGTAAAGGCGCCGTTTTCGCGGGAGTATATCGGCTCGATACCAATTTTCGGAACGGTCGGACAACGATCGGAACGGATCTCCGGCGCGCTCGTACACGCTGCGCCACGCTCGTGGAAGCTGTCCGAGGGACCAGCCGAGGAACTCGTTTCGTGGTTCCTTCCTCTGGTAACCTCCGGCCTCTCCAACTAAATTTTCTTCTGTCCTCCGCGGCGCGCTGGATACGAACCTTCCTCGCAGACGAACCGCGCCTTCTTCACTGCAACAGAAACCAGACACGTGGAAATCAGTGATCCGCTATTTCACAGCGGCCGTTTATTCGCCGAGCCGCGGCCGCCGCGCTAATGAACGTAGTTTACAGTTGTAAGGCCGCTCATTGAGCACTCGGCCCGATTAATCTATACCGCGTTGCTGCAAGAAATAAGTAGGGCGAAACCGCCGACAAAGTTGCCCGAGTCGGACGAAGTTCGCGAGCCGTCTTTCAAGCTGTTCGCACTGTTCGGGTAATTGTTATGTTGATGCATATTTCGCGAATCGAACCCGGCCGGAGATAACGTTCGATTATGTGGGTATTCTGGCGGGAACATTTGCAGCTTCTTGCATTTTCTTGAAGAGTAAGTCGATTCTCCGCAATTGTCCTTCGGCTTGTAAACGAAAACGGACAATTTCGGAGGAGCAGATGCGATTGTACGAGCGTCGCTGCTTATTTTTACAGTCGCCTATTGTCGACAGCTGCAAAAATTTGTCTATTTTTGTTTAAAAGCTGAAGGACAATTGGGGAGAATTTACTGTACAGGCTCGTAACAAAATGTTGTCGTCGATGTTAAAAACGCATCGAACGGTAAAACCCATCGGAAATAAACGAAAGACAATAAGTATAAAATGAAAAACGTTATCAATCGAAGAAATGATTAATCATCCATTGAAAACATTTTTTGACAATCTCTGTCGTCTTCATTATTCGAAGTATTAAATAATGTCCTAATGCGTTGCAAAATAGTATTTGGTAAAAGGGCAAGATCATTTTTATCGCTTCGCTAAAAAGAAGAAAAGTCTCGACGAAGCTCGAATAAATTCTTCGAACGATCGCATTCGCCATTTTGATCCAATATTTTCTGTCAGGGTAGTTGCCCGCCCTTTTATTACACAAACAGACCGAATAGTGTTTGCACGTTATTTCTTCGACAAAGCAGTGCCGATATCGCTTTGTTTTCAAAACTAAATCGTCGATACGGTTGCCGCGTCACGGTATTGGCGTAGTTGTATTCTCGACGATAGTAGGGTGCTCGGTTGAAGGAGCAAAATGGTCAATATTGATCTTTCTAACGTCCGATATAAATTTGAAGCGCGCCGGCTCGCGCTCGAAACCTCGTTTGACTCTTCCGACCCCGAAGAATTTTTCTGTCGGACCGGTCACCTCGGTAAATTGATTGTCCGTGCCCATCAACGAGACCCGCCCGTAGACAATATTAACAGTTCGCGGGCCACTTAATCTCGCTAAATAAACTCGAATTAACTGCGTCCGTATCGGAGCATGTACATAAATGAAATTAAACCGCGCCGGCTCTCGATTAAAAGCACACGCAGCCCCCGGACAGGACTTTCGAAATAATTAAAACAAAAGTGGGTTATGCCACTTATTTGTTTTAACGTAAACTGGCTGATGGGTAATTTCATTGGGACCGTGAATGAGCTCGTGGGTGGAACAGCAGAGATGACAAATTGTGCGGATGAAGGAGTAATTATGTTTATGTAAACTTCTCTCTGTTGTTTCGTGATTTAAATTGGTTCGCGAGTAGATCTATTCTCCTCTCTAATGCGTCGCATCATTGAAATTATTAGGTGCGCCGTCCAGTGCTTTCTCTTTGACGATAAGGAATTATATTTTTAACGTATATTATATTTCGTAAAACGACTGTTTTTCTTTTCTCGGCAATATTAGCGTAAGAAATGAGAAACACACGCACACACAAATGTAATCGTACAATTAATATAAGAAGAAAATAATAAATTTATCACAGATGTATAAATAATTATATATATTTGATAAATGCACGAGCGATCGCGTACGAAAAATTCATACGCAGAGACGACGTTTATTTATTCTCGAAGAAGAAATTTTCTTTTTTCGACATACGCGTTCGCAATTATTAGAAACTCTCGATCCTCTAGGACAGAACGATGCTTCATTATGCCAAACACTCAAGCATTATACATATAGGAAACTTAGGTATTGCTTACATTTCACGGTAATGAAATATGCATCGCGGGTATCAATTAAATTGGAGCTCAAAGACTAGGAAATCAGCAGCAATTACGACGGTGTCCTAGAATCTTGAGGACAATTAAGGATACGATGCAAATATAATTGTAGATCGCTGCATGACGATGCTGTTTGTAGAACATTGCCAGTAAAACCAGTACAAATGTGGTTATATAGTTCACGTGCTTTCATAGTTCACGTAAAAGCATAGTATATTGATCATAGAATTTTCGCTGCGATCAAAATTTCCCTGCACAAAATTATGAATTGCTGCAATACGTTTCCACTTCATTCGGAGTTTTATCAAATAATTTTGACACCTCTGCATTGCAAAGAATGTCTCGTGGCAGAAGTTTTCATCTGGCGAGTGTGCTTGAAAATTTAAATTAATTTCACGTTCAGCAAAGTAAATTAGACGTTTCCATTTTCGCTAAAGCAGCCTTCAGAATTTTCTCGACAACTCCAACTAGCTACGAATATTTTTTAATCATTGTAGTTAGTTGGAGTCGTCGAGAAAAGACTGCTCCAAAAATGTATGTAAGTCGTTTCCATAAATTTGAAGAAAAAGTTATTCCGTTTTAAAAGGTGTCCGAACATTTTTTAATCATTGGACACCTTTTAAAACGGGATAACTTTTTCTTCACATTTAAGGAAACGACTTGCATTTTTGGAGACGTTGCGTGCACGTGAGTTGCAGAGATCCACAAAACGCGTTGTTCAAATTCCCGATATCAGCACAAGTTTAAAAAAAGTTAAAAAACACGAGTTTCTTATCTTTGTTTTTCGCGCCAACCGATTGCAATTAATAACAAAAATTTTATAGACGTAGCCTAGTGAACTAACTTTCCTAAGAAAAATACTGGTAACTTCGTCAATTCTTCAAAAAATTATTCTGTTCTAAAAGGTGTCGGAATCTAAATGGGAGCCGTTGTAGATAATTCAGCGGACGTCCCGAGCCCTTCGTTACGAAGGGAACCATTCTCTGTGCAGAGAATACAGGGTGTCCCAATAATGTCTCGCAATCCGGAAATGGGAGATTCCTGAAGTCATTCGAAGTAACTTTTTCCTTAGCGCAAACGCAATCCGCGGCTTTGTTCACGAGTTATCAACGAAAAACAGTGACCAATAAGAGGCGAGATCAGCTGGCGCGAGACGACCGAGGCCAATCAGTAGAACTGGGCTTTGTGCGCTCGTTGACTGGGCTGCCTCGCAAAAGCCAAGCTCGCCTCTGATTGGCCACCGTTTTTCGTTAATAACTCGTAAACAAAGCCGCGGATTGCATTTTCGCTAAGGAGAAAGTTGCTTCGAATGACTTCAGGAACCCCCCCATTTCCGTATTACGAGTCACTTTTGGGACACCCTGTATAACGATCGTAGACAGCGATCTCAACGAAGATGGGAGGAAGATTGAATTTAGAGGAGGCTGGTGTAGAGAAGCGAAGCTATCGGCTGGCGGGCTTCAAAAATACCAGCCTCTTTTAAATGCGTCCCGAAGCCGAAGACATATACGCGGAAATTGAAGCCAGCGCTGGTGAATTCGATTTCGACGTTCCGCGATTTTCTATTGAACAACTGCTATCTGAATAAATCAATTCGCCGCAATTCACATGTGACACTCCACCGACAATGAGCTTGCCTTGAAACGGCTTCCATATATGCAATTGCTGAACGCGTAGACAGGTAGTTCTACACACACACACGAGCACGCGGCCACTCGAAAGGCGCTCCCTCGTACACACACACATATACGCAAACGCAAGCACACACCTGCGCATCGATCAAACTATTTGAACATGAGCAGGGAATTCAATTTCTTCCGGAGGAAGGCATCGGTAACGACATATAAAAAAAAAGCCACTTGACCGACTGCTCCCGTATCGACCACAAAAGGAGTGTCCTTGCTAAGGAACCAATCAATTCACTTGGAAATTGTAATTATTATATTACGCTCCTAAGCCCGGGCATGCTTAATTGACCGCGTCTCAACGAATGCCACGGAATTATCGTGGCAATTCTACTCGAGCGTAGTGGAACAGGAAACAATGAGTGCAGGTGTTGCTCGAATATACTACGGTTTACCGAACACTATTTGGGTCTCGAGGATTTGGATGAAGCAATTAAACCTTTGTTTCGTAGCGTGATTCATCGCGGGATTTCGTTATGCAAAATATAATTCGGTTTCACCGCTGAACTTGCACTAAACGTGACTAATACGTGTTTTCGGATTTAGCTGAGATTTCAGCACGATCGTTGTTGCAATCGAATAAATACAGGTGAAACATCGGTAAAGGAACAATAACGCTGCAATTTTTCTATTTACCGAAATATTCGAGTACAGAGTTTAATAATTTTGTAAAAGCATAACGCACTCGACGATTGCGCACGATAAAATAAAAAATCAGAGATCGGTTATTCGGTTGCGACGATCTAATATTTTAACGAGTTAATAACGAATTAAGGGCCATAAAGATCGGTTACGGAATGCTTCGCTATTAAAGAGCGGAATATGCAATGCGCGGCTGATGGTGTAATAAGATGGATCGAGCGATGCTCTCCTTTAATGAAATCCTCAGCACTTCCGGTATTTCAAAGTGACGTAAAATAATAACTGCGGACGATATTACGTGCAACGTTACCGCCCGGTTATTAACTGTTGAGATTCGATCTGCCGTTCGATAAAAGAAAGAAATGGTACCGTGGAAATATTCAGTAGCGAGTTTCCCTGTCAAAAAAAAGAACGCTACTCTAATATAAATCTCACACATTCAATACCTCTCGAACAAGCATTTTGACTTTCATATTCTCGGCTCGAGTAACCTCATATTTCGCACGTTCCAGCAGAGTTATGGTAAATTCTTGGATGCTTCTCTCTCGCTCTCTCTCTCTCTCTCACTCGTCCTTTCTCTCCCATTCACTCGCTCTCTCTTTCTCTCTACCTGTTGAAAACAAAGTTTCAGTGACGAGGAAACCAGAGTACGAAAGGTCAAGAGTAAACC